AGAGATGCATGGGGAGAGAACCTGCTGGACCCATTATTGTTGAGATTGCAGGTGTTTTGGTGATGCTGTTACTTCTAAGTGTCCTTGAATGTAACTTGTAAAAGAGCTGCAAAGACAATTCTCAAGCATCTGTGAAATGCCTGTATTTTGTGAGTCACGCTTAAGCCATTGTGGCTGTCTGGCTCCTTTGGGAAGAAGCAGAGAAAATGGATCTGTTTATAGTTGCTGTTTAGACTGGGGGGATAAAGGGGGGCTCTAGGGCAGGTTTGTGCCTATTTAGCAAAAGTGCTCTCACGTATTGCTTCTCCACTCCTCAAAGAGTTGCAGCTGGTTGGACAGAAGATGGTGAATCTGGACTGCAGATCAGCTTTCCAAGTGCACTTTATGGTCTCTGCATAAGTTTCCAGATCTGTGTCTAAGCGATACATTGCATATGTCCCAACCTTGCTCCCTTTGGAGTTTACATCATTTGTTTTTAAACTTCCAATATATTTTCTCTTCCTCTTCCAAAAGCTGTAAGGAATTAGCTGCTAAACTAAAACAGGAGGGCAATTCTCCGGCTGATAAAGAGCTGATTTTGGCCCTAGCCGCTGTTGAGTGTGGAGCCCCAGCCTGTAGCACAGCTTCTAGAGCAGCTCCTGTCTTCCGCTGCCAGAGAAGTAGTGCTAACGCCTTCTGCATCACAACACGGGCAAGGAGCCAGGATGGAAGACTCAGAGACGAGGCCAAATGGCAAAACTAAGATGGCCAAAAGGAGGTGTTGATGCCTTGGCCAAATGGCTGCAAGCGCATCCTGGTCATCTTCCTCATCTGGGGCTCTGGATTCACAGAACCTTTGCAAAGGCTGCGACTTCCCTAGAGAGCCTGGTAGCTCCTAGTGATCTGCTGAGGCTGAATTGGGGAGAGCGTGGCTATTTTCTCAGCTATTGAGGCATCGTGGCAACAGACCTGATCAGATGAGTTGCAGAGGGTGTGTCCCCCATCATGCTTTTCCTCGCCTCTAGCTTCACTTTGGCACTTGTGCATATCCAAGGGTATGTGCTGGTTCGGACAATCTCCCACGCCCCACCCTGGCCAGCTCAGAGGGGTGCCTAGTCAATGCATGCATCTCATTTATTTTAAAAACTATTTGCATGCTTCAGAGCTCTTTGCCTGTGAGCTGGGAGATGGACTCCCACTCACCCAATGTCTCGGAGGCTGCAAAGCTGCTCTGAAATCACACCAGCGAGGCGCAGAAATCGGTGCTACCCAGGTGCCCAGTGGGCAGAGATGCAAGGGGGTCATCTTTCTACTTGTCAGGCTAGAAAGATGGGCTGTCACCCGTCAGCTGGGCAGGAGGATCACGGTTCAAAGCTGGTTTCCAAAAGGCAGGGGTCATTGACCGTTGCTCTCAGTCAGCCCTGAATTCAGGGTAACTGAAAGGAGGAGAAAGGAGTATTATTATTTACTTCAGTACCAGGAAATCAGCATCCCCTAAGGGAGCCAAGCTGCCTGTTTCTATTGATTCTTTTCTTTCTTTCTTTCTTTCTTTCTTTCTTTTTTTCCTCCCCACTGGCATTGCACACATGATTCCCTGAGGCAGCTCTACAGCTCCCAGCCTCAAACTCCCTTTGCAATGCCCTGGAGAGCTTTCCAGGGTCAGATTTCCTGGGAGTCTCCGGCCTTTAGCTTCTCCCACTAGCTGTCTTGTAATGGTCTGGCAGAAAAGCTGGTTTTACTGGGCTGGATCAAAGCACCTCCCTTCTCTCATGGCTGGCTTCCCCAGATTTCTAGCAGCAAGCCTTGCACGCCCTTTCACAGGAAATCCTACATGCAGCGTGGGAACACCCTGAGCGAGACGAGGTGGGGAGCAGGAGAGCATCTTGTTACTCGAGATGTGAGCTCTATGAACGCCAGCATCTCAGAAAGGTGATCCTCCTGCCTTTGAACCCCCATGTTCACATTGGGAACGCTGCTCCAGGGAGGGAAGTTTGCAGGATCTGCCCAATCCCAGGCTTAGTCGTCTACATTTAGCCCTGTGGTCCCCAAGAGAACCGAACACTTTCTGGGGTGAGGCCATTTAGGTGGGCCTTGCAGTGGGTGCACAAAGAGCTTTTGCTTCCGGCAAACCAAACTTTCTCCTCTTCATAAATTTTATATGTAGAACTACATATTCTCCTCTTCAGGAAACTCCTTATAAAGGATAGATTTACTGTCCTGCTGAGTTAAACAAGGGAGATGCTGGTCTTCCCCTTTGCTTTGGAGATTCAAACAAATGACAGGTGATTTTATTTTTAGCATTATCTCTTTGTCTATGGGGAGGGGAGGCATGTTATAGAGGCTCAGGGGTGCTGGGAAGTAAAGCTATATATGCGTAAAGACTGTTTCAATGCTGAACACTATAAATTCAGTGGTGGACAAAAAAAAGAATGTAAATATGCACTTAATGCAGAATTTTATGGATGGTCATAATTTAATATATTGCAAACTTTGTAAATACTTGGAAAAAGCCTGTAAAGTGTGTAAATAAATTAGATTTGTATGTAAGAATAATAAAAAAGTTTTTACTTTTTGCAATTAAATACAAGTGTTAATGCACCTTTTCCCCTTTTCCTGATTTATTTTCTTGTCGTGTTGCATGTCAGCCATTGAGGGGTTATTTAACCCTTTTTCTAAGTGGAAGTGTCATTTTAAGTGAAAAGTCAGAACACTTTTGTTTGGAAAATGTCAAACAAAACACTTTGGAAAATGTTTTGACAGTTTTAGCCTGGTTCCCTAAAAAACGTTGATGCAACAGCTCTGCCTTCCTTTCTTCCCGATAACAAACTCTGTCCTTCCTTCACAATTCAGCTTATTTCAGCTAACCTTTGAGGGGTAGAAGACAATAAGCTCCTCCAGCGTTCATAAAAACAGGCCAGTAGAGGAGAAAAAGATCCCGCTACTACCCAGACAATGCATTAGCCTTATTAGACACCAGAGAAGCCACGCTGAAGACCCTCAAAACGTGAGTCAGTAGAAAACCAGGCTTGGTTGCTTCTGCAGCGCAGAGTTGTGCCTTTCTGGAGCCCACCAGCCTCGAGCCAGACCCTGCACACCCCATCAGGTGTTGGCATGCAGCTCCTGTCTCCTGTGCCGAGACTGCTGGTTCCCCAGGGATGCGCTGGACAGGCTGTTCCTTGAGTGAGCAGAAGTAAAGCTGCATTCCTCATGTGCTTACCTAATGCCGGCTGGACATGAGCTTGTCAGTTCCAGGGTGGGGCTTGGACCTCGTGGTGTTAGTCTTGATGCTTCAGACGTTGGCTCCAGAAAGAGCTGTTGGGGCAGGTTGGGGAGTTGAGAAATGGCCCTGCACCCCCTTTGCCAGCAGCCCCGCCTGACCTTGCCAAATGCATTGGCTGTTACTCACATTTCCCCATGAGCCACGTGCCCTGAGGGTGACTCCTCTAGGGCTCTTTTCTCTTCCACCATGAGCCCTGAGTGTCCCATTTTCCTTAATACTTGTTGCTCTGCTATCTCCTGCAAGGCTTAGTCAGGATGCTTTAGTGCCGGGGGCTACGTGGAACTTGGCCCTTCATCTCTGCATCATGTTTGCAGAGACCAGTATGTGCGTTGGGATCTTCTCAGTGCTGCCTTGCTCCTTGTAAGCCAGGCCCCAGCAAGCTGGTCCACAGGAGTTGGAGCCAGTGTTGATCCTTTCTAGTTGTTTCTCCGGGTCTCTGGAGATGCAGCAGCAGAGCTTTTGAGGTGTCTCGTGATGGAGACGGGTTTGCCTTGACCCAGATTCCTGTCCTGCAGTTCACCTTACCAATAAATGGGAACCTCTGGTTTGACCAGATGAGTTGAAGACAGCCTGTTGAGATGTTAGCCTCAGACCCTGCTTACAGAAATTTTTGGACTACTGAGAGCACGGTAGACCCTGGACCTGATGAAGGAGAAGGTAATATGCAGAGGTAAGAGATTTGCAGGGGCAGTATGAGAGCTATTGTGGTGAGAGGTGATCAGTGTGGTCCAAAGCAAAAGGGCAAATGGCAAAGCATTGCCTGGGGAGCCAGGAGGGGAGAGGGGGGAGGCAGAGCCAACAGCGTGTGATTAACTTGGCTCTGCTAGCCAGAGCTGCCCACCCGCTGATCCTTTCTAATAGCCTGTGATCCCCAAAGGCAGCTCCTGGAGCAGAGCCGGGGTGGTTGCACAATCACAGATGGGGAGGAAGAGGCTGGAGGGGCTCTGCCAGACTGTCTCTGTGGCAGTGCGATTTGGGACACCTGATGTTGAGCCCCCCAGGTGTCTGCCTGGGGAGGGAGCACAGCCTGTCCCTGCAGAGCTAATGGCTGGTTATTCCACCCAGCCCTGAAGGCAGCTATAATCAACTCCCCTTTTGGGGGTAATTTCAGTTCTATAGCCTGTTCTTCCTCTCCTGATGGCACAGGGAAGGGGCATCAACCCTCTGCTTACACCACCACCACCCCCCAGCAGGCTGGGGGAGCCCTGGGGGGGCCGTTCCTCAGCTGCACACTGCTTTCCCCCAACACAGCCAGTGCACAGGCACAAGTCTGGACGAGGTGGGCTCTGACTCCTGGCTGGGAAGTTGCTAGTGCATTCCAGGGACAGCCCTTTCTGTAAAACAGGGCTTTGCTGGTTGCTTAGGGATTATTTTTATAGTTTAGGAGAAAAGGGATGAGAGGTAGAAGAGAGGACCCATAACTTGAGGGTTAAGGGGATGTCTGAGGTTTGGAGCAGCAGAGGCTTGGATGAAAATGTCAATCCAGGGATTACGATTTCAGGCACAGGGTCTGTCTCGGGGAGTGGACCCTGCGTGCTCGTTGGCACCAGCCGTACTGCTGCTTCTCCATCAAGGCCGATATGCGAGATGGGTGTGTACCGCGTGGCTCCGAAACTCTGCTCTAATAAAGAAATACATTTCCTCCCCAATCTTCAAGCTGTTGGGTGTTCCTTGCTTTTGGGAGGTGCTTTAAATCTGACTGCCAGAGCTGTGGGCTGCTAAGAGCAGAAGCTGGCTGCATGATGCTGAGCTCAGGTCTTCCTCCTGTTTTCCTGTTGCTCACAGCACTGGAGCTGAGCTGGTCCCTGACTGATGAAGAAAAGAAGATAATCTTGGATGAGCATAATAAATACCGCTCCCAGGTCTCTCCTCCTGCTATGGATATGCTGAAGATGGTAAGTGGCTTTGATTGCAGGGGAATGTCAGGGTGTTTGTGTAGTGCAAGCCTCGATCTTAATGCTAGGAGGGGTAGGGGTTTTCTTTAGGGAAGGCAGAGCAATTCTTGTGTAGGGCTTCAACTAGGTATCAACGGAGGGGTTCCCTCAATTGCCTCTAAAGAGATGAGTTTCCTTTCACTGAAAGAGTTGTCTTTGATTGTTTCTGGAAGTTCCTAAGTGTGATCTGAGTCCCCTGATGCTCTGCGTGAGAGCGATGCAGATCTCACTGACATGAGGGCCCGCTGGAGCTCCTTGTGATGGGGAGGAAAGGCAGGTGAGACATTGCCATGAGCAAGTGCCCCAGGCTGGGGGGGGAATCCTGCTGCATGGGGCATCGCCGGGTGCATTTTATTTGTCTTTGGAGGTGAATGGGCTTTTATCTGTAGGAGGGAATGTCAACTTCAAACATGTCCACCAGGTCATTCAGTTATTTGGGCTTTCCATTGCTCTGCTACTGCCCACCATGACTTGTGTATGGCTGTCCTGGAGGTGAGGGATCCCCCGTTTTGTTTGGTGAAACTGAGTCAAGTGCCCACCGTCACATGTGGCTGCAGTGGGAGCAAAAACAAGCTCTTGAGCTGGTGCTGCTTTTTGTTTTATTTAGACCCTTGATTTGATTAAAATTTGGCTATCACATTTTATGTTGCACCACACGTGATTTTTCTCACTGTTTGCAACGTGCTTGGAGGAGGAGGACAACTGTTTATCATGGATAGTTGGAGTGCTTTCCTCTTTCGGTCACAATGTGCTTGGAGGAGACTTCCCTGTCTGGCCCAAAAGTTGCCCACACTGAATTAAACCTTTGTGGGATGATAAATGGGAGCTTACTGGGCAAATGAGACAAAAAGCTATGTTCAGGTATAGGAGGTCTGACTAGTGACTTCAGACTCAAAGGGGACAGAGCCAGAACCCTAAGCACCATGATCCCACAGACTCCCACCAGAGCAAGATACAGAAAATTCAGAGAATAAGGGCTTTGGAGCCAAAGTCTTAGAGAAAGCCTGAGGGAAACAGTCTCGCAGGGTCCTTAAGTCAGCAGCAATTCTGAACAAGTGACTGCTGCTCCCAGCTGAAGCTTTGATTGCAGATTGTGTGCTTTGAGATACTCCTCTTCGCAGAGTTGCTCTATTTCTGCTTAAACGTACAGGACCTGCTTGCAGTCCAGAGCCAAAGGCTTTTTTTTGTTGAAGCACAACAAATGTTTAGCTTACAGCAGCCCTTTTCCATGAGAGCTCTGTCCTCGCCTCCCTCCTGGGACGTTTGCTTGGGCTGTCCTCGTCTCGGAGTTCACCTGCTGCCGTGGCAGCGTGCCCGCCTGAGGTCACCCCACGCTTCTGTTTGGGATACGGATCTGGTTGCTGTGGAAATAGTTAGGTGATGGGGGGGGATACATAGCCTAAAGCCACTTTTCTTTTTTAATGAGGCAAATCCTGCAGGTGCAAGTCCCTTTTTATAGACCCCAGCTCCGTGCCAGAGGGAGAGGAGTGTGCACTCCCCAAACTGGGTTTCCAGCCATCGCTCTCAGCCTGGCTTGGGGCCATGGTGGGAGGTCAACCAGCTATTTCAGTGTTTCCTTCCCCCCAGTACCTCAGTGCTGCCGCTCAGGGGCCCGTCCACATCCCCTCGACACCCCGAGGACCCGCTGTTTGCTGGGCTGCCTTCCAGCCTGCTGCAGAAGCAAAACTGCTGTCTCCATCAAATGGCGCAAGGGCGGTCCAAACAGCTGCGGCGCAGGATTCCTTGTGTGCCTCCTGCAAGAAAACCTCTCCTCCTCCTCCTCCTGCATATCAATGTGGTTGGTGGGGGACCATGGGCCAGTGGGCTCAGCTGGCGGCGGGGCCGCTGCTGCTCTGGAGGGGGCTCTTGGCAGGCAGCCGGCCGGCCGCGTCTCAGATCCAGGCGAACAGATGAGGTTTCCCAGGAGCGTGTGCTCCCAGGCTCTGTGCAGCTGCTGCGGGAGATGTGTCCCGCTCTCCTCTCATCCCCACCCTGGTCAAAGAGGGATGTCCCCAGGCCACCTTCTGCGTGACCTGGGGTGAGTTTCCTCCCTTCATCCGACTTCACGTTTTCTCCACACTGAGTTGAGGATGCCCCACGATGATGTTAGAGATTCTCTGGGCAAGGTTGTGAGAGTTGTGCTGATGCACTGACCTTCCCCTGTTTGACCTATAAGCTAAGGTCTGGTTTGTGCTGGGACTTGCTGTGGAGCTCCCCTCTTCTGAGGACTTTGTTGAATACGGATTTGAATTTTACTCATGAATGGAGAAATTGTGGCCAGAGAGCCCGGGGTTCCTTGGTATGTGTGCTTGTGTACGTCAGAGAGCCCAGTGTCTCTCTCTGTATGCTGACGCCGAGCTCCTTTCAGAGCTGGGACACAGAGCTGGAGGCCTTTGCTCAAGCCTACGCAGAGAAGTGCATCTGGGACCACAACAAGGAGAGGGGCCGACGGGGGGAAAACCTCTTCGCTATGGCCCCAACTCTGGACCTAGAATTCGCTGTGGAAGACTGGAATGGGGAGGAGAAATACTACAACTTGACAACTTCCACGTGTGTGCCTGGCCAGATGTGTGGCCATTACACCCAGGTACCAGGCTGCTGGGGTGGAGGGATGGGGCTGTTGAGAAAGGAGCTGTACCAGAGCCCCAGCTCCTCCCAAAGTATTTGCAAAGGGATGGGGAACCAGGTAGGAATCACAATGATACGGGGGACCTGGGCATGGTACCAGCCGTTTGGAGAAGACTTTTCTTAAACAAGCTCTGCAGCCCTGTTTGGCTACTGCCAGCTTGTCTTAGCCAGAGATAGGAAGTCAGAGTGTTTCTTCACAGCTTGGGTGGGAGCAAGGAGGAGCAGAGATGGTGGTGGTAAATATGAGGATGGATGGATGAAGGGTTCCAGGACCAAAGCAGAGATGGTGATGCTCTACCTGGATGGACTATATGGGAGGAAAGCTGTGGCACTTGGCTATGTGGGCTGCAGCCCTAGGCTGGGAAGGTGGCCCAGACAGGAGCAAGGGGCAGCATCCTGAATGCTAAAGCAACATGGGGATATGGAATCTGGGCATCTGCCTTCCCCCTGTCACCTCACTTTCAGCCCTGGTCTTTGCCTTAGGTGGTCTGGGCAAGCACGCATCAGATCGGTTGTGGGGCAAAGTTTTGCGAGAAGATTGAAGGAATCGAAACAGAGGACATGTACTTGCTTGTTTGCAACTATTACCCACCGTAAGTCCCATGCCTTGCATGGCTTGGTGCATCTTGATGGGGTTTCTGTGCTGGAAATGTCCTTCCTTCGGTCCCTATAGCAGAGCAGGATTTGGTCTTGTTCAGAAATAACAGCAAAGCGATTCCAAGAAAGGCCTTTGTTATCTTGGGTTGGTCACAAAGGAAGGAAGGGTTGTCTGGTGATCCTTGCCCGTGATTGCGACTGCTGAGGTCTGGTTCAGCTCCTGGCACAGACCCAGGGAGGGACCTTCTCCGTGAGAGCTGCCCAAGGCTGATGTCGCGGTAGCTGGGGCTACGAATGGCAGCTCCCTGCTCTGTGCCTTGTTCTTCCCCAACGGCAGCAGCGGTTGCCTGGGGCGGAGAAGCACGTTTGCACCAGCAGGAAGGGTTGGACATGGGAGGAGAGGTGGGTGCTCACTTGCAAAGCCCTGGGACTAGCCTTGGGGACTACTTGCTTGGAGCTGGTGAGACCAACAAGAGTGACTGGTCACTGCAGACATTTATAGGGGTCTTGAGCAGAAAAGAGACAAAATTACATATCCAAATGCCCATTGACTGGCCTATTCTAAGGGGTGGTGAAGGATCTGGTCCATGGAGCTGTCTCCTCTGGTTTTAGCAGCCTTGGGGTCAGGCCGTTGAGTAAATGGCACTGACAGTCTGTGGCAGGAGACCAAGACCTGTTTTTTACATTAATGCTAAGTTTTGCCTTGGCTGGGATATTCCAGTTGAATCAGACCCCCTCTTTGGGATGGGTGTCTCTCCCTCTCCTCACGCCTTGTTTTTCTTGGCGTCTTCTGCTTCCAGGGGTAATATGAAAGGCCGAAAGCCATACAAGGAAGGACCCTCATGTTCGCAGTGTCCTGAGGGCAGAGTCTGTGTCAACTCCTTGTGTGGTAAGTGAAGCAAAGCGGCGCGTGTTCCTTGACGGGCTATTGGGACTCAGACCCCTGGGTTGGGGTCCAAGCTCTGAACCCTCCTGGAGCTATCAGGAAGCCCTGGACCAGCAGTTCCAGGGCTGGACCATGAGACATCAGGTGCAATGGCAGCCCCTAAAACAGGTCAGCTGCCTCAAGATGAGGAGGATCGGACAAGGACTTCGTACCCCCTTAGACAGCAATTGTTGCCCCATGAGCGTGCCCCAATCCCGAGGGGCAGGAGGTGGTGTGAGGGAGATGAGATGTCTCCAGGTTGGGAACCCCAGAGTGGGGGATGGCCCAGAGTGACCTGAGAGGGGTCAGCTGCTGCTTCACCCCCCAGCTGATTTCTGCTGGCCCTGCTCAATGCAGGGGATCTGTTGAGGTCAGCTGACCCTAGCCCTAACCCATGGCACTTTTCGTCTCTTACCAGAACCCACTGTAGAAGAGACCACTCCAGCCCCTGTGACAACAAAGGCAAGCCCATCCACCCCAACCACAACCATGCCAAAACCCACAACCACAGCCA